CCTGCTGAGCAGGGAGCCCGATGCGGGACTCGATCCCGGGACTCCAGGATCATGACCTGAGCCGAAGGCAGTCACCTAACTAACTGAGCCACCCAGGCGCCCCAGTAAGGTTGTCTTCTTATTGAGTTTTGAGAGTCTGGATACAAGTCCTTTATCAGATATGTGATTTGCATGTACCTATTATGCTGTTATTTCTAATCTGTGCCTAAGTCACAAATTCCACTACCTATCTCCCCCCGGTTCAAATTACCTTTAATAATAGGAAGTGGTAAAGAAACATCATTTTCCAGGAAAGACAAAATTATGAAAAGTTCTTAGTGCACAGTGAATCCCTCACTCCACGGTAGATATTATTCCTAATTCAGGTAATGGAATCGCAGGTGGGGCTCTCCAAAGGGTGGACACAGAGGCAAACAGCCATGGACTTGCTCTTCTATGGTGTCAGCTAGCTACATGATACTACCAATCAATCTCACCAAGGGCTGGGGTTTCTGAACTATAAGATACAGAGTTCAAAGACCGAAAATATCAAAGGTTAGTACGAAGGGCTGGAACTTTGTACCTTTTACTTTCCAGTGGCAATTCTCTCACACCAACCGGATGTCCTACAATTCATTCAATTCTGGCATGAACTACCCCGAGTTGGTGAAGACCCCACAGGTTAAGGAGTTCAGCCGTAAGTCCTGGGTCATGACCTGAGCTAAAGGCAGATGCTTAACTGAGCCACCCCGGCGCCCCTGTTCAGAGTTTTATTTTATTTTTTTTAAATTTTATTTATTTGACAGAGAGACAGACAGAGAGAGCACGAACACAAGCAGTGGAGTGGGAGAGGGAGAAGCAGGCTTCCTGCCAAGCAGGGAGCCTAATGCGGGGCTCGATCCCAGGACCCTGGGATCATGACCTGAGCCTCAGGCAGACGACGCCTAATGACTGAGCCACCCAGGTGCCCCCTGTTCAGAGTTTTACATTGAGGTTTTACACAGGCATGGTTGATGAAATCACTGGCCATGTGATTGAATGCCATCTCCAGCCCCCTTCCCCTCCCCAGAGGTGGGGCTGAAAGTTGGGTGGTTTTTCTGATCAGCCAGCATCCTGAAGCTATCCCAGGGCTCTCAGAGATGGCAATGAGTCACCTGTTAGCTTCAAATCTGGTATGGTCCAAAGGGGCCTGTTATGAATAAGGAAGGACAGTCTTTTTTTTTTTTTAATGTTTTATTTATTTGACAGAGAGAAAGAGAGAGCACAAGTAGGCAGAGTGGCAGGCAGAGGGAGAAGCAGACTCCCCGCT